AACCAAAAAAATATTTTTTCACATCATATCAATACTTATTATTAATTTTTAAAAAAATTATTTATTAGACAGTATTGAAATAAATATCTACTCCAATTCGATACAATTTTTTAGTGTGTAAAATTAACCGAAGGACGTACTTTATCCATTTATGTTCCATGGAAGTTTATTTTTAAAAAATTCTCGTAATTGAAAACTCGAAAATTAATGATACCTTGACTTGTCGACAAATATTCGAATTATTATCAAAAAATTAAAAAAAAAAAACGCAAAGTATATGACATTCTATATATTAATTCCGTCGTTTTTGCGATTTTAATCTCGCTTCATCGCAATTAAATAATTTGAATTTACTCCTGCCGAAAGGACACCCGATATATTCACGAGCATGAAGGACATCGACAGCGGCTTAAAAAAAATCGCGAAGGATATGACACTCTATATATTAATTTGGTCGTTTTTGCGATTTTAAATCTCGCTTCATCGCGATAAAATAATTTGAATTTACTCCTGCCGAAAGAACACCCGGTACATTCACGAGTACGAAGGACATTGACAGCGGCTTAAAAAAAAATCGCGAAGGATATAACACTCTATATATTAATTTGGTCGTTTTTGCGATTTTAAATCTCGCTTCATCGCGATAAAATAATTTGAATTTACTCCTGCCGAAAGAACACCCGGTACATTCCCGGTACGAAGGACATTGACAGCGGCTTAAAAAAAAATCGCGAAGGATATAACACTCTATATATTAATTCGATCGTTTTTGCTCTTTGAATCTCGCTTTATCGCGACGAAATAATTCTCGAAAAATGGTGAACGATGTCCGCTGCCGAACCGAAAGGACACCCGGTATATCGACGAGAACGAAGGGCATCGACAGCGCTGGTGAAGGAGACGAAGGCGCGGGAGCGAGGGCCGAAGAAGAAAAAGCACCAGAGTCGCGACCAGTCGAAACGAAAACACCGACCGCAGAAAAGCAGCGCGGCTCGAGAAAACGCACAGACGTGTGTGTGTGTTCGTTGTATACCCTGGCTGTGTTGGAGGAGAGGCAGCGAGAAAACGGGGATTTCTGAATGCGGTCGTTGAATCTTCTCTCTATCGCGGAATGAAAAACAAAAAACGCGCATATATCGCCCCGGTCATTTCGGTGATGATCTCGACCACGGCTTTTTCGCCCGTAATCAACTTCTAAAATCCGAGGAGACGGAGAATCGAGGCGAGAGATGCGAGACTAACGAGGATGCTGCGATACGAAATCGACCAAAGTAAGAAAGACAAGAGAGAGAGAAAAGCGATAATAGGGGGAGACAGATGTGTAAACATTTGGAGATTTAAATTCAGTCGGAGAAATAATGTTCGAAAAAGAATTCCGAGAAGCTGCACAAAAATTCCGTACGTTTATAAATTGCTCAGACTTGCAAAGTGTCATTGACTCTATCAAAACTTTCCAAAAGCACTCGCCCGGAATTCCAAACTGTCTTAAGATTTGCTCCTACCTTGCGAGAAATCGAAAACAACAGCTCTTTTCTGTCTCCTTCTCGTTGTTGCTCGAGGTCAGGTATCGGTTTTGCGAAAAATACAGGTCACAGACTCTCGGGCACGAAAAGACGCGGACGAGACGAATGAATGGAAGAAAACGAACGAACGAGAGCGCAAAGGAGCCAATGACTCACTCTGTATATTCGGTCCTCGATGTTTACTGACGACGACGACGACGACGATGCAGTCGCGGGTCCATGCTCTCATGAAAGTGTCAACTCGGACCTTTCCCTCTCTCTCTCTCTTTCTCGCACATAACTCACTCGCTCTTTCTCGCTCACACCCAGAGTATTTACCTTATATATACGTATCCCCGTCTCTCTCCCTCGCTCGGTACAGACGGATGATCCACCGTGAACTGGTCGACACTTCTTCGACGAGGCGCACACCACACTGTCACCACCACATCGTCGTCACAGACACAACACGCGCGCAACCGACACGTCGTATACGCGGAATCGCGGCACGCACGCATTCACCGACGCGAGACGTCGCGTCGTCGCCGCCTTCGAAAACTGCACGAGGCGACGCGAGACGGGAGGACGGAAAGCACGACTCGAAAAAGCACGGGCGCTCGAAGGACGGCGACACGTAACTCCGCGCAGGCACCACCGTCAAGAGTCGGTCGCCATCGGTCGCTGGTTCTCGCGCGAGTGCGAGGCGCGCGCGCGACCGCCCTCTCGCGGCCGAGAGGCGAACCCGGATCGGCCAATCGCGTCGCGTCAGGCGCGTCGCCCGGCAACGCCGTCGTTATCTTCCCGTGGCGCCCGCGCCAATTATCCGGTTGCGATCACTAGCCGCCGATTATATGTATGTAATTAATAAGGGGGGGTTCGATCGAAATTTGATGTCCCGCTTTTTTACGTATTTATATATTTTTTTTTTTTTCATTTCTCCTTGTTTCTGTTTTAGATTTCTAAAGGTGCCTTTTCATACGCAGCATGCTGCGGCAGCAATTAAGTCACGTGATCAAAATTTATTAGAGCATATTTCTTTGTTCCTCTCATTATTTCGAGGTTAAAATTACGATTTTTGCTTTTATATTCTTACAATAATCTATTTTATTTTTAAAATCCATTATTTAATTAATATAAGAATAACAATTAGAATCAACTAGTTGCGAGTAGTTTTGCTTTGCTGCCTTTGCTGTTCGTTCAATTAAACTTCACCAATTGCAACAAACTGCTGCGGCAGTATGCTGCACATAAAATAATCATTTGAATAATGTTGCGCGGCAATTTTGATTGCAGCAAGATTTTTGTTGTATTACACTTTATCGCGAGATTGCGTAGGCCGGTTCTACAATACGTCGTATGTCGCAGTCAAGTGAAAACAAAATTTTCATTTCGAAAACAAAATTTCCGCATTCGACAATCGCTTACGTTCCGACATCCGACTGCGACATACAACGCACTGTAGAACACGTCTTAATAAATTTTTTTTTTTTTTTTTTTTTTATTCTTTTATATTAAAATGCAAATAAATTTTAGTGTTAATTTAAAAGGAGAGCAAATGCTTCAATCTTTTACTAATTCCAAGGGGTGCAAATGTCTCTTTTACCCCCCTCTGCGGACGCCTATAATTATAATATTGATATTTTACTTAGAATTTTTAGAGGTATTTATTTGATTAAAAATTAATATTTTAATTATTACAAAAGAAGAGGAGTATTAATATTTTAATAATTATTAAAGGTATTAATATTAAATTTGCGCAGAAACAATATCTGTTCAGTTAGCATGACTTGTGTATTTTTCGCAGACACAGATAAGAAAATAGATAAAAATATTTTATGTCTTTTTCTCTTTTTAATAATACAAATTTTTTATCACAATATTTTTCAACTGAAATGACTATTCTGTCAAATAGATATTTATACATATATCACAAAAATATTTAAACATACAATTTTAATTTAAAGATAAAATTTATAAGTTTTGTCTGTACTAATTTATTATTCCATTTTTTATTTTATATAATTAATCTGTTGAACCTGTTAGTGGAATAAATATTCAAGTGATCATTCATCTAAAAATAAAAATTGCTTGGAATTTTAAAATAATCAGGAAATCGTAATGTTAGTGCACATATTGCATAAGATTAAAGGTCAAAAAAATAAGTATTACATGTCTTACATCCAACATATTGGAGATAGGACGTTTTAAGAGATGTTTTTTTTTTTAACATTTATGAACAAAAATTACAAAATATACATATTTTTTATAGATATAGATTTAAAAAATTTTATTCGTTTATTTTTTTCTCTATTATCATTATCGATGCAAATACTTATTTTTTTTTATCTTTAACCTTTATACAATACGTACTAACAGATTTTTACGATTATTTAAAAAATCCCAAGCAATTCTTTTTAGGTGGACCTTTTAAGAATTTGTTATAAATGATAAATTTTACGCAAAAGCTATTAAGAAAAATTTATGTTTCTTTATAACTTAGTGTAATAAAAAGAAAATTTGTGTTCACAAAATTAAAATTCAATTTTTTCATGTTTTCTGTAATTTATCTGTAATATATCGAGCTTGCAAGAAATGTATAAACGATAAATTTTTATTTAGAATAAAATTAGGGAATTAAAAATAACGCAAAATTAAGCTGAGATAAGTATAATTAATTAAATATTGTGTTCAAGTATTATATTAAAGTTTTTGTCAGATATTGCATTGCTATGTTATTGCATTACATAATATACTCTGATAGATATTACACTGCACTAGCATCGATATTGTCTGTCATTAATCAGTATTGGTATAGAATTTGTAGTATAATACTAAAATAATTGTTCTTAAATTTTAATTTAATAAAAATATATGGGGGTTTACAGCGCGATATTTAATAAATTATCATATTTATAATAATATTGTTATTTATTTAAATTAATGTATAATGGAATATTTCCAATTTTAATTTGAAATAATTTTTTTCTGCAGATACACAGTTCAATAAAAAACCAATATTTAAATTAACATCATAAGCTTTTTTTAAATTAAATTTATCAAATCAATTTCTACAAGTGTTTTAATCGCCACGCTATATTTTCTGTATATATACCTATATACATAATTCTTTAATTTTGAATGAAAAAATGTACTTAATTTAATTTAGAGGGGCAATCTATACTCATACATATACAATAGACTGATCTATTATAGAATTGTAAATCGAGCAGATGTGACGCAAAAACATCAGTTGCGTTGAAGAGATCCTATATATGATTGTGCAACCTTCGACGATAACAAACACTCTTGTCTTGACTTACATTACTAGGCCATGAATACTCGTGAGTTTTTTTTTCCCTCCGGAAAACTCCATCGTTTTTCCGCACGCGACAACGCGAGCAGCGCATGCAAGACATATTCCCGAACATACTCCCCCACCATCACTAAGTATGAATTTGTTAAAACAGCAAAGTCGAGGCATCGTCGCATTCAGTCCGCTTTGGCGCGCTCCCATGGCTGGACTTCGGGGTGTCTCGATTTGAAATTACATCGATCCTTTGTCAGTTCTAGACTTCTCAGTCGCTTAAATTACATAAATATATATCGCAGCGGCCAATTTTCGCGCACGTAGAAAATTGTTTGACATCAAAATCCAAGAACGTCATAAGGGGAACAAAATTATACGACGAAACATTAGGAAATATTTCTTTGAACATCAGCGTTTTTAGCATCACTTCAGCCGGAGTGTCCGATAATTCAGAATTGCTTCGAAGAGATAAGCTTGGTGTCGATAAGGCTGTTGTAAAACAAGATCTTATTATATATCGCTGTTTAACGGTACGTAAGAAACTGCTCTGTTTCTAAAGTAGTTATTTCGATAATGTAATAGAGTGGCGTTCCATAAATAGCAATAGTGATGTAGATAGAAATAAAATAGTGAAAAAAATTATATTAATTAGTAATTAAAATAAAATAGTGAAAAAGTTTTACTTATTTTATAAAAAGATATGGAGAAAGATTACTCGAATCAGGGATGAAAATTCACGTGATCGTGGATTTGGTCAATAGATAAAACAATTTTATTTTGCTTCGATTTTAATAATATTTAATATTTATAATCTTGCATTTTTAAATATAACATAAGTATTATATTTTGTCACATTCGCGCGAATGAATAGCTAATGTGATTTATTATTATATAATTATACGTCTTAAATTATTATTATGTAATTATACGTCTAATATCTATGTATTTCGAATTATTAAACATATGATTAATGTGATACGTATCAAATGACATTCAAATGACATTTAAATTAAAATGCAAAAACTTTGCAATTGTTATTCCATTTTATTGCATCTCGTGTTCTTACGAAGTAAAAAAATTACATTTGCATAAAATTTTATATTAACACAATATTTCTCAGAACAAAAATCCATAATCATTTTGAATAATATCTCTCTTTTAATTATACATAATTTTATTGGATGAAATAAAAGTTGATCGAAATATATCGCTACGGTTTCGGACGCGATAAGAATGAATATTGCGAATAACCTGACTCGACCTACAATTTAACAGAACGTATTTTCATTTATTCTTATATATAAATATACATAAACACTCTTCGTCATAATTCATTGTGCGTTAAGCATGATTTCACAATGTGTATGTTATATTTTTTGTCTAGTAATAGTTGAGATAGAATCAAAGATTTCAAGGTAAAATTTTTATATGTCAGATGTTCACGTGAAGATACAAACACATATATATATATATATATATATATATATAGATAAATTCAAGTTTTAATTTATAATGATTGCACATATAAAGTATAAGACAAAATTAAAAAGAGATAGAATATAAGAATTAATATTCACTGCACTGTAAAAATTGTAATATTTTATCTAGATAACTAATACATACATATTTGAATAGATAATTATATTTCCACGTGTACGAATTCTATTTATAATTAAGTGGTTAACGTATGACCGCACCTTACATTTTACATATACTCAGAACAAGGATTATATATTTATAAATAAGTATTAATATAATTTTTATTAAGGAGCGATAAATAAATATTGAATAATAATTATAAGAATTAAAATTATAAAAATGATTATGAAAATCAAAAGTGAAAGGGAAATACTTAAAGCTCCTAAGTGAAATATATAGTTTCTTATAATTTACTTAAATACGTCCGAAAAATTATTATTATTTATCAGCGCGCGATAATAAAAAAATTAAAAATCGAAAGCGAGGGATATAAAATTTTCAAATCAGAGAAAAAGGAAGAGAAAGAGGGAGGGAAATCGAATCGAATTTTTATTGGCGTTAAAAAATGGTTTAAGCATTTCTTCAGGAATCTATCCGAACACATTTTATATTCATTAAGGAAACTTATTTTTGGAAATAATGCAATGTTATTGATGCCATCAAAGAAATGTCATAAGTCAGTTGAATTATGTGCAAATGAGTTGTGAGAACGATGCATATTTTAAGATACGTAAACGAAATTTATTATCGAATTACAATGGTTTCGATGACATTAACTTGTCTTACTCGCGATTGCTTCGATTATATTTGTTTACGAGCGCTTTATGAGAGCCACTTGTATGCATTTCTCTCTCAGCGGGAAAAAACATATTCTAAAAAATTAAATCACTGTTTTCGAAATCGTCATGTCGAAAAACATTAATGAACATGTTTCATTTTTACAAATAGCGACTTTTTTATCTCTTTTTTTTCATTAACGAAATAGGACAAAAAACTCAACTTTTTTATTTAGGAAATATATTTTATACGATTGGACTTATTATTTATATAACGAATAAATAATTTTTCAAATTTGTCCAATTTGCACAGTAATCTAATAAAACAATTCTACATGTATAAGTCGAAGAAAAATTAACTCGAAGTAATCGTGTTTTGAATATAATCGATTAGATTTTCTAACTCAATGATTTTGAACTTTGAAACGAAAACATGCAATTATTACATCGTACACAGAGTGCATTATGTAACGATGCGTAATCAGTCTGCACGATTTAATCGGTTTAATTAAAGAGCTGAGTTGCCGAAATAATCGAGCCGAATAAGCGAAATCGATTTCCTTTATTTACGACAAGATGATGAAGAAATAACGCTACACGCGTCGTCCTACACGTGCGCACGTGGACGAAATTTGAATTATTCAAGGTACGTGCACGGTATGCACGCGTGTATTTAGACATAACTCTACGTATTTTCGTAGAACACGTCGCAGAAATATGGCTCGAACAATTTGCTGACCAAAGGGCGATTCCCAGGTCGCTTGTTTACACGAGTGTTCAGTTAAGCCAGCGGAAAATGTCGAAACTGGAAACATTTTTTATCATATATAATTACATGTGAAATATGTCTATTTTTATACATAATTATATAAATTTATATATATAAATTACAAGGGTTCATATATAATCATGTCGAATTATATATGAAACATACTATATTTATATATATGAAGAAATATTTATTATATACATATAAATTTATATAATTATATATAAAAAGCACTTTTATCTACTAATGTATGAACATATTTCATATATAATTTTATATTGTTATATATATATATAACAAACTTTTTCCACGGGGCGTTTGAAAAACAAGCTCTTCGAGAATAAACGCGAAAAAGTGACTGCAAGAAAACGAAATGCAAAATAAAGATGTTCTCGCATCTTACAATCTCAATAAAAATCGATTTTTTAATCAAAACAAGCGTGAGATTGCAATACGTATTTCGGTCAATTTGGAATTCGAAATAATTAAGTATGCAAATTATTATGCAAATAATTTCAAATAGTTACGCAAATTATTGAATATAAAATAACAAAAAATGTTAAAAAAAAAAAGAAAAAGAAAAAATGAATCCGACAAAGTTTATTTACGATTATTGCAGTTATATGATCTCTTTCGAAGTTTCCCTATTGTTTATCTATATGATTCTCTGAAACGGTTTTCTTTTCACGAGCAGTTAAAAAAACATGCGTGCCTCATAATTGCATCGTATCAATTTTACGATACTCCAGTTAAAATCACATGAAATATACTGTAATTATATATACGAGAATTATAGGAAAATAAGAGATGACGCATGAGAGTATTAATTAACGCGAGAATAATGTAATGTATATTAAACGTATGCGCTGTTGCATAAACGTAAGAAAATCGTAGACTACATTATATAGTACTGATTCAAAAGAATGTATAAGATCGATTACGAAATCGGTCATGAATACGTATTTGTCATTCGCGCGAAGGATTTGTCATAAAGTCACGGTTACGTTTATTCACGAATCGTGACGCGAAATTTAAGAAGATATATATAAGACCACCTATAAGAATAGTCAATATTGCGCATGATTTTGACGTGTTCATAATTTTACAATTTCACTTACGTAATTTCGTAATGTTAATTATAAAGCAGTAATGCAGTAACGTGATTAGCACATGCTCAAATGTATTGAGATGCGATGTCGAAGCATAAATCAAAAACCACCCACTTTTATATTTTCATATAAAATTAAGATGCGTCTACTAAAAGATGTCGTATTATTGTTAATCACTTGTCTTGGTATTTTCAAATGTTCGTACGGTTTCTGTTTCTGACTCATGCACAAAATGAGTTTTTTTTCAAATATTACAAAAATTTATATTACTGTTAGAATGAAAATGTGTGTTTTACGTTTTATATATTTTTAATATAGAATAAATCTGTCAATTTTGTGCATTTACACTTACCAAATTGTACAAAACTTACAGTCTATATTAAATTTTGATTGACTTTAACATACATTGCCAAATATTTATAGTACTTTATAAGTTTTATTTTTATAAAATAATATTATAAACAGAAATGTGTGTTATTTTGTAAATAACTTGATAAACTGAATTATAAACTAAAATATAATAAAACATATATATTGAGAAAATTATATTTCGAGTCGAACATTCCAATATTGAAGTATTGAAGTTATAATTATTTCGTAATTAAATAAGGGATTAAAATTTTTAATCCATCGGCTCTCTAGGCCTTTTATATATTCTCCTCTATGACAATGTGTTTACAAAATTACAAACAGAACAAACCAGGCTGACAACATATACTGACAAACAGGAAAAATATAATTGATCGGGTTGTATATACAATGCGTTAGATAATGTATTATTTATTTTACAGACAATGTTGTTAAAGTTGCGCGTAGTCTTCGGTATAGCATATATTTTATATGCAATATTACGTCAGATTTTGTTATTTATTCGCAAGAAACCGGAAAAAATACCGCCGATAACAGATCCTTTATTTACATTAAGCGCCACTACGCTTGCTAAAAAAATTAGACAAAGAGAAGTAAGTGCACTACATTTTTACATATACATAAACACACACACACACATATATATATGTATATACAGGGTAAATCATTTTAATCAACGCAACGAGGAGAACATAAAATGGTGTTATTGATTTGACCTTGTATAATCATTTAAAGGTCACATGAAGATCACCTTCAATTAATTTCTTAAATGGAACCTTTTATTTTTCATTACATATTCTTATAGTTTATCTAAAGAGTTTTCCAAAATCCTATAATAAAATGTTGTTTGATCAAGTACTTTTTAAATTATAAAAGTTTAAAGTTTACAATTTTTTTGCATAAAATGTAAAATATCTTGTAAAATGTTCAGTTCAAATCAATGACATCTTATGTACCCCTCATAGTCAAAAAACTTTTGTTCGAGAGCTTTTTTCCATCTTGCTTACTATACGAGATATTTACGTGCATTATTGATTAAGATGGCTTACCCTGTATATATTCTTATTTTTAATATACATATATTATTTTTAATATACATATATTTTTTAATCGCATTTATAAATTTTGCCAATTAGATACTACAATTAAATTTTATTGCAATTAAGTATAATCCATTATATATATTTAATCAATTGCATTAATTGATACAAAAAGTATTAAAGAAAACATAACTGATGCAAATATAGACAATTATTTTTTGTAAAAAATATAGATTACGTGTTACGATGCGGTGAACGAATACACACTGCAAATTAAAGAAGTGAATCCGTTCTTAAATGCTGTCGCCGGCAATCGATTTGGCGATGCAATATACGAGGCGAAAATCTGCGACGAGCAATTAGCAGCCGGCAAAATTGACATTGAAAGATTAGAGAAGGAAAAGCCGTTGTTCGGTGTGCCGATCACAGTCAAGGAATGTTGCGCTGTTAAAGGTATGATTCATTTTTTTGTGACACTACCATAATAATTTGCATCTATCATTTATTTTTTACGTTACAGAATGTCGAAAGAGAGAATAAAAATATTAAAATAGAAAGATATAAATACACAAGTAAAATTATATTTATAAATATGTACATATATATGTTCATATATGTTAAACGCAGAGTTAGTAAAAATAGTTTATTCTTTTCTTAAATACAATATTTCTTTCTTATTCAATATTTTATTCTCTTTAAAAATTTACAAATGAAACTTTTAATCATAATTTTAAAGAGTTTTTTTGGTAATATATCATACGTTATTAATACACTTTTAGTAATATATTATATAAATGCATTTAAATATTTACAAGAAAATATTTTTAAAGGCCTCTTAAAAAGGTGTTTTATAAGGCCTCTTAAAAAATCACTCTGTTCATTTATCATTTTCCAAAATTATTAAATGTAATCGATATCTTAAAGGTCATGAATGTTAAGGAAGATATAAATATAGATAAATCTTTTGATTTTATCACACGTTATTAATACACTTTTAGTAATATATTATATAAATGCATTTAAATATTTACAAGAAAATATGTTTCCTGTGTTTTATATAAGGCCTCTTAAAAAATCACTCTGTTCATTTATCATTTTCTAAAATTATTAAATGTAATCGATATCTTAAAGGTCATGAATGTTAAGGAGGATATAAATATAGATAAATCTTTTGATCGCAGGTTGCAGTCATTCAGGCTGTTCTTTACCTCTCGCAAAGAGAAAAGCAGCCTGCGATGCAGAAGTCATCAAGCTGCTCCGAAACGCTGGAGCGATCCCAGTTTGCGTTACAAACACTCCGGAGATGTGCGCCGGCTTTGAGAGCTCGAATTTTCTGTACGGTCGTACTCGTAATCCTTACGACACTAGATACACACCTGGTGGATCGTCTGGCGGAGAGGTAATTGAGTTTTAATCATCTCAATCACATCAGCACTAAGAATGGAGATAGTCGCGTAACTGTGAAAAACAAATACTAGTTTTTTGAAAAAAAATTATTTACGACACTTCTCTCCTCGAACGAGCGCGTTCTCGTGTTATTAAATAGTTACAATAGAAGTAAAATGAAATACAAACGCACCTGGATTAAAATTATAGAATTAAAAGCCCGGATCCAGTGTATTTATATTTTTAATTGTTCATTCAGTTATATATAAAAATAGGACTAATCGTGCGCGAAAAAATAGTCTCTATTATTCATAGATTTATGTTATTTTTCGTATAACTAGTCAACTAGGATTATATTTACTACTTTTTCAATCGAGATTACTGGCATCGTTGTGAAAAACTACCTTTCGAGAGTGTCAATCTGATCGGAATCTTTACGCAAGCAAAGGATAAATTAATACTTGTTAACTACTTTCGCCCGAAACATTTTCTTTCCGCGCTAAGAGAGAACACGCAAAAGATAAACGCACACTGCAACGTGATATCGTTATTTTGTAACTGATCTAAGTGTACCTAATAAGTGTTCTAAAAGCGATCGAAAATTTATAATAGGCTAATCTAATAAATAAAAAAAATGGAATAAATATGTTGAAATGCATTTTCCTTTAAGGGTGCGTTGCTCGGGTCAGGCGCTTCCGTGATCGGAATCGGTTCGGATTTAGCTGGCTCTATAAGAATACCGGCTCTTTTCAACGGCGTTTTTGGACACAAACCTACAGCAGGTGAATTGATTTTTTTATATATTTTTAAATATATATGTTCCAATAATAATACCCCTTTGTCAATTTTTCATTTAATCCTATTTTTCTCCCAAGGAAATTTCCCTTAATTTATCATACATTTTTCTTTTTACAGAAATCGTTTCGACGATAGGACACCTGCCGCTTTCCGAGGATAAAGTTTTTCAAAAACTCCTGACCTTCGGGCCGATGACCAGATACGCGGAGGATCTCGGGCTGCTTATGAGAGTGCTGACGTCCAAGTGCGATCGTAATTTGCGTCTAAATGTACCAGTGGATCTGCGACAATTAAAGGTTTACTATCGATTAGGCTTGGATGAGGCATTCGGTACTTTGTCGGTGGTGCCAGAAATTAAGGAGTGCATTCATAGAGCGGCGATGCACTTTACGCAATACGATATTCGCCCGGAGAAGGTATTCACAATTATTAATACGTCATATTTATTCCGTACGATATGTAATATTTCGTCGACATGTTGCAGTTGCCAATAGAATGGCCGACTGAATTAGTCGAGATTGTGCTGACCGGACTTTTGAATGTGAAAGACATACCTAACTTATTGATAGATGCCAAGGATCCCAAGGTATTTACGTATGCATACATTCGAAACCATTTTTTTAAACACACGCAAGATCATTGTACCAAATAACTCAGATTTTTCGCGGTATATAGGTTTATATTTATTACTGAGTGTTCCCATAAAAAGTACACATGCATTCCACATCTGATAAAGACATGGCGGGAAAACTTTATTAATCCCGTCTCGTCGACACGTGAAAGTTACGTTCGTGACTTTTCCATGCAACGTAAGAAAAAAATACAAGACGATATTTCACTGTAAAATTACAACATTGCGCGACTATATTATGCAATATTATTGCAATGTTGTTTCAGAATTGAAATGCAATATATTTTGTATCTACGCATTGCGAGAATTTTTTCTTCACTGAGAAACAGTACCTATAAACATATATTAAATGTTTCTTAAATCACATTTAAATGTAAATATAAAATTTCTTTTTTACGTTATTCTTGCTTAATTAATTTTTTTGTTGCGCAGCTGAAAAAAAATGCATTCATCGAATTCGCAAAATCTGTGTTCGGCTTGTCGCAATACACGAAGCAGACAATCCTCTTCACCACGATTTTTGAAAAAAAATACAAGACGATATTTTACTGTAAAATTACAACATTGCGCGACTATATTGTGCAATATTATTGCAATGTTGTTTCAGAATTGAAATGCAATATATTTTGTATCTACGCATTGCGAGAATTTTTTCTTCACTGAGAAACTTATAAACATATATTAAATGTTTCTTAAATCATATTTAAATGTAAATATAAAATTTCTTTTTCACGTTATTCTTGCTTAATTAATTTTTTTGTTGCGCAGCTGAAAAAAAATGCATTTATCGAATTCGCAAAATCTGTGTTCGGCTTGTCGCAATACACGAAGCAGACAACTCTCTTCACCACGATTTTTGAGACCCGTATTCCATTCTCGGAATCGGATGTGGAGTATTACACGAAGCAAGGAACAGCGATTCGGCAAAAACTGCTGGTTAGTGTCCTGAGTTGTGCCATCATTTTTTTCAATATTATCATAAGCATCTCTATTTGCGATTCTCTCACGCGTCATCTTATTTTTCTAGGATCTGTTGGGAGAGAACGGAATATTTATTTACCCGACCTTCCGGTCCACGGCGGTCCTTCCTGAATTGATCACATTTGAAACCCTGAGTACTTCCTACTCCGGTATTTTCAATACTTTTGGTTTTCCCGCGGTGCACATACCGATGGGACTTAACCACAAGGGGTTGCCTATCGGTGTTCAGGTAAGCTCATCAGTCAGTTTTCTCTATGGGCGTCCCCTTTGGGCATTTGCTCTCCTTTTGAATAAACAGTGCAATTTATTTGCATATTTTATGTAAAAGAAAATCACAAAAAATTCAATTTAAGAAAATGCAAAAAGAAGAAAAAAATAAGAAATAAAGATGTACGTCGCTCAAATGAGTAAAAAATGAAGCATTTGCTCTGCTTTTGAATAAACACTGGAATTTATTTGCACGTTTAATATAGAAAAATGACAATAACAAAATAACGAAAAAATTAAGAAAGAACAAAAAATAAGAAATAATAAAAAAGATTTAACCATGCACCCTCCTGGAAAAAATCCTGCGGACGCCCATGGTTCTCTCTATCACTCAAAGAATAATACGAAAGTTGAAGATGTGCGAGTAACAATTCGAAATAGAGCGCTTTACGGAGCAAAGTCATATTAAAAAATAAAAAGAAAAAAAAATTAAAAAATTCTAGGTGATAGCTGCGCCTTATCAGGATCGCCTCTGTCTGGCGGTAGCGAAAGAGCTGGAGACTGCTTTCGGTGGTTGGGTGCCACCATCGATATCGATAAAGAACAAATAAATTATCATTACAAATTGTTAATTTTTTAAATAACAGCTAGTGTTACATATTTTTGTTATATGAAAAAATGGCACGCGAATAATAGAATTCGCGATGAACTGTTAAATTTCTATAATTTTATACGTACAGTCATTTTCACAGAAAATCTGCCATTGTGTATTATTGATGTATTATTTCTTGTTAAAAATTTCTTAATATATCTGTATATTTTTTAATACTATTGTATATGTTACAAATAATTTTTTTAATAACAGATGGTGTTACATATTTTTGTCATATGGAAAAATGGCGCGCAAGTAATAAAGTTTATGATGTACTATTAAATTTTTATAATTTTATACGGACAGTCATTTTCACAGAAAATCTGCTATTGCGTATTATTGATGTTTTATTTCTTGTTAATAAAATGATATATTAATATATCTGTATATTTTTGAATACTATTATATATGTAGTTAATTATACCTAGCGCAATCATGTAGACGCAGAATTACATTCATCCGAATGTAAGATATTTAAATCTCTATTTAATGATATCTCTATTAAATATTTAAATCTCTATTAAATATTTAAATCTCTATACGTATTGAATAAATTAAACTATGTTCGCAGCCGTATAAATATGATGCGGTGTAAAAATCATGGGCTACGTCAAAGACTACTATTATGCAATCGTCGCCAATAGGCTCCATTCTTAATACTTGACTTATATTTCTAGATCGTGAACTTACAATTAATAGTGCGTTCTTCTCTAGAAAAACCAATTGTTTCCGCATGTGATTATCGCGTGCAAGGCTATCAGACGCACACATTCCCCACTATAGCATATATTATAATGTTAAAACAGTAAGTCTAGTCATCGTTACTTCCAGTCCGCTTTGCTGCGCACTCAAGGTACGCGCTTTAGAGTGTTTCTATAATTCAAGATATAGTGTTATATCCGCAGGCGTTTATATTTGCATAAATAATTGACGTCTTCTCGCGCGGATTTTTGTGCCCGCAGACATTGTTCAGCGTCGAGATCATTTTGCAAAAAAAAAGCAGATACGACAGAATGTTTATTTGAGCATCGTTTTTAGCGGCACTTTTATATTGCGGTATTCAACGTTGAAGAAGTGTTCGTAAAGATAACTCCTGAGTTTAGAAAACTGTATTCAAAATTGTATATATATATATATATATATATATATATATATATCGCCGTTCAACGGTACGTATAAAACTGGTCTGTTTCCAGAACAGTTATTTATTAGCAACAGAAAAGCTGATTTTTTTCTTGTTTATAATTCTATATTAATTACTATATTAATGTAATATATTTTGTTGTCACTTTAAAATACAATAAGTATATAATATACTTTGTCATAGTCGGGCTTGACATGATTATTGTCAAATTATATAATTTACGTGGAATTATACTTTTGTATTTATTATACTTGTATTATTATTGTACTTATTTTTATACGCGTAATTATAATACAATACATATAAAATAACATTTTAATGATATTTAATAAGTATCAAAGTGCAGAGGCCGACAACTTTTTGTTCATTTTTTTCTCATTTTATATTCTGCCGTAAAAAGACTAAAGATAATTTTTATTAGCATAATGACTTTCGAGTAAATAAATCATCTGAATATCTCTTGCAATTATATTCTTGCTTTATGCTATATTAAAAAAAATACGAGGTAGGATCAGCATATTTACAAAAATTTTTGAATAATCCATTACAATTTAACAGAACATTAATAAATATATAGGTATACTCTTCACATTTTTATGTAAAATAGTATCGAGATAGACAACAAAAAATTTATATTTTATTGTCAATGCTGTTTTACATCACTGAGATGTGATTATGACAGGTATATGCATTTTTTTGCTTCTTGTTCTATTTACGTAGTTTTTTTTACCTCTTTTGATCTATGAGCTCTTTATATAGTTATTTATATCGTCTTTAATTGCTTAAGAGATTTGCTAAAGACGAGAATCAAATGAATTTTTTTATTAATTAATTTTAACTAAATATTTTATTCGAAATTTAATATATATTTTATATCACAGTAATGTTGAAACAGAACAAAATTTAACGTAAAATAAGAACGACATAAACATGACAATTATTTAAATAACTAATATTTATAAAATGTGAAGAAGTAAAAAGAAAAATAATTTTTGTTTATTTCTTTCTTTTGAAGAATGCATTGGAAAAATTTGTATTAGAAAATAATAATTATAAAAATAAAAATTATAGAGTGATTATGAAAATTAAAAGTAAAATGTTATAATTAGCTTGAAAAAAATGAAATGTTTCAAGAATTATTATCAATGGGCGATAGTAGGAAAATGAAAAATCGAAAGCGAGAGAAATGTGAAAGGCGTTAAGTGGTGACAATTTGAAAAACAAGATTTGCAGAGTCAAGGAAAGAAAGAGAGAGAGAGAGGAAGAGGAAGAGAGAGTTAGTATCGAATCTCGGCGTTAAAATGGTTTAGACTCTTCTTCAGAGTGACTTTCAGAATACATTTCATATTCAGTAGGAAAAGTTATTTTCTAACAAACAACCGCAATGTCATTGAAGTCGTCGATATCATTAAGTCGATTGAATTTATCCGCAAACGAGATGTGAGAACGATGATGCATATTTTACAACCGATTATTAAATTTTAATTATCTCAACGACAACTTATTCTGCTAATGACAGCTTCGATCGTACATTTGTTTATATCGATTATTATTAAGAGCTATTATATAGATAAATGATTGACTTGTCTATCATTTATACGTATATCTTCATTAGAATCTGTATTTTTTTCCATTCTTCAGCATCATTTTTCAAAAGCGGAATATTTAGAAACTTATTGCATCAATAAGTGATTTACGAGTCATTCGTGCTTTCTCAGTGAGAAAAACTATTCTTAAGAATTACTTGTCACGAAATCGTCACGTCAAAAGCATTAAAGATGAGCATTTCCCATTTTTCGAATAGCGATTTTCCGTACAATTCTGATTAAATTATTTATTCCTTCTGCTTATTTTTTTCAGTGATAAAATGCGGTAATTCTAATATTTTATTTGGGAAAGTACATATTTTTGCTTTATTTATTATTATTAATACTAAATAAAAAAATTGTATCTATAAGTCGAAGAACAATCGACTCAAAGTAGTCGTGTGTTAATCTTACAGAATCGACAGATTTTCTATCTCGATGACTTTTAACTTTGGAAATGTGATTTATCGTAATGCATTACAAGTTTCCAACACTGCACTTTTTTGATGCATAATTAATTTGAATGGTTTAATCGGCTTAAAGATCTAATCTCTGTCGAAGTACATTGAACCGAATATCGTCGAGCGAAAGTTTTTATATGATTATGAAGGAATAACGTGTGCGGAAACTGAATTATTCAAGATACGCGCGATTGTGCGATATACGTGTATTTAGACAAAAGCCTAAGCATTTTTGCAGTACATTGCAAAAATATATATGTCTCGAACGTGCTTTGAAAAGGCGATCTCAGCTCGGTTAGTTTACACAAGTATATTTAACAATGCTGCTTTTCGCGGAAAATATCGTCATAAAATGCGAGAGAAAGCGAAGCTGAGGCCGCGTTCAAGGAATTTTTTTTAAGAATTAACGCAAAAAAATGTTTACCGACGAATAAAATGCAAAACGGGGAAAAATGTTCTCGCATTTTACAATTTCGATTAATTAAAAATCCATTTTATAATTGACGCGTGAAGTTGACGTATTCGATTCACTGGGAACTACGCAAATTATTAAACATAAAATAAAGAGTGTGAAAAAAATAGTCTTCTATATAAAGTTACAAGTCCGATGAATTTTATTCGCGGTAATTGTGGTTATCAGTTTTTCCGAAGGATCTTTTTTGTTTATTCATGAAATGAATAAGATAGCCATGAAGATACGCGTCTTACAATTTATAATTACATTATTTTGATTTTACGATATTCCAGTTAAAGTCGTAGTTGTAAATTATACGAGAATTACATTAAATGTCTCTAAAGAGTATAATGTATGAGTAATTATCGTGGGATGGTGTATATAAAGTATGTACTATTGCATAAATGCAAAAGAATTGTACATGTACATGTTATTACTCTGGTTAAAAAGAATGTAGGTATAGGTAATCGATTATGAAAAAAATTGCCACAAATTGCGTTGTTTATCTTTCGTGCGAAGAATTTGTCATCAAGATCACGATTAGGTTTATTCGCGAATCGTGACGCGAAATTCAAATAAAACCATCTAAGAATAATCAACATTACGTATATTTTGATGTGTCCATAATTTTATAATTTCTGTCTGTTACGTGCAATATTAATTAAATTAACGCAGTAATGTTATAGTGATAGAATATATTGAGATATAAAAATTTTTTTTTTTAAATAAAATTAAGATACAACTAAGATAATTCATCATATTTTATTTTTATGAATAACTTGTGTTTCTGTATTCATTAAATTATGGTATTGTTCCTATTTCTGACTCATATTGCGCAGAAAGAATTTTTGCCAAATATTGTATTATATATTAGTGTCAAGATATGTTTTATGTTATATATCTATTTCTAATATAGAATAGTTTGTCGAATAAGACTTATAGTCTACTTTATATTTTTTTTTGTTTTAACATCTATTTTTAAATATATTTATATAGTATTCCAAGTTTCTATTTTTTTATAAGATAATATTACAAACAGAAAATATACGTATCATTATATGTATATTTACTTGATAAATTATAAAATAAAATATAATAATAAAATATTCTGAAGATTATATTTCAAATAAAATATTTCTATAAAGTATAATTTAATCATTTCGTAAATATAAGTGATTAAAATCTTTATATAAAAAATTATTAGCTAGATTAGCTTTTGTATATTTTTGTCTACAATATATATACTTGCACATCATGACAAGCCAGAAAAATATAATCGATCGGGTTAAATTTCTTCTTTAAACATGCAATATGCACGCGTCAGCTAATGCAATGTTTATCTTACAGACAATGTTGTTAAAGTTGCGCGCAATTTTCAGTCCAATACATTTTCCCTTCGTTATACTACGTTGGATCTTGTTATTTATTCGCAAGAAACCGGAAAAAATACCTCCCATAACAGATCCTTTATTTACGTTAAGCGCCACTACGCTTGCTAAAAAAATTAGACAGAGAGAGGTGAGTGAGCATTTGCTACAATTTTACATATACATTTTCTAAAAACACACATACATTTTTTAAAAACATTTACAAGTTTTGCCAATTATATGCCACTATAATTAAATTTGATTACGATAAAAAAATATAATATTTTATTTTATATACACAATTTAATCAACGCAAAAATATATTAAGGAGAACATAAGAAATGTAGAGAATTACTTTTCCATAAAAAATATAGATTACGTGTTACGATGCGGTGCACGAATATACACTGCAAATTAAAAGAGTGAATCCTGTCTTGAATGCCGTCGCCGGCAATCGATTTGGCGATGCTGTCTACGAGGCTAAAATCTGCGACGAGCAATTAGCAGCCGGCAAAATTGACATTGAAAGATTAGAGAAGGAAAAGCCGTTGTTCGGTGTGCCGATCACAGTCAAGGAATGTTGCGCTGTTAAAGGTATTTCAATATCTCAAAATTATTTCTGTATATCTTTATTATTTTTATAAACATCAAATTATTCAATGTGATTAATTTTTTATAATAATAATATAATAATTTGCATTTGTATGTGACATAAAAATAAAATTATATACACAATATTCAATGTTGAGTGCAAAATTAAAAGATTTACTTTCTTCTTTTATTAAACATTTAATTAACAGATCGAATTTTTGATTAGAATTTAAATAAATTTCTCGGTAATTAATGTATTATACAAATTAATTACATTGAATATTTACAAAACAGATTCTCTTTGCATAAAATCATCTCTTTATCATTCTTGTAAATATCAAATTATTTATTAAATGTGATCGATCATATGTAATTATGTAATACATCGACATCATAGATTTGATTTAAAGAAGATGTAAACACGCACACGAGATAAATCTTGTTCGCAGGTTGCAGTCATTCAGGCTGTTCTTTACCTCTCGAAAAGAGAAAAGCGTCCTGCGATGCTGAGATCATCAAGCTGCTCCGAAACGCTGGAGCGATCCCGGTTTGCGTCACAAACACCTCGGAGATGTGCGCCGGCTTTGACAGCTCGAATCTATTGTACGGCCGTACTTATAATCCTTATGACACCAGATACATGTCTGCCGGATCCTCTGGCGGAGAGGTAATTCACCTCCGATCATCTCAAAATAATGAGATAACAGAAACTGAAAAGAATTTATTTCTTTTTTTCTCAGGAAATTATATAATATTTATATAATTATTTATATATAATAATAGTTTTCTTTCGTAAAAGCGCGTTTTCTTTAATAGTTGCAATAGCGTAAAACAAATACAGACGCACGTGAATTAAAATTATAACACTTTTTGGAGACACATTGATGACAAAATAGCGTTTTAAAAACCCTTAGAATCGTGCGTAATAATTTTATTTGATATAGAATATATTTATAATTATATACAAAAATAAGATTCGACTGACGGTGCACTGAAAAATGATTTTAATTATACATATAATATGATATTATTTGTATAACTGATCAGAATTATTGTTGCTGCTTTTTCAGCGGGAAGTCTTATTATTATCGATTGTTATAAAAAACTATATTTTGAGTGCCTTAATTGGATCGAAATATTTACGTAAAAGCAAAGAATATATTAATAACTACTTTCACACGGAATATTTTCTTTTCGCATGAAGACCGCGCACCGCGTATTATTTGTAACTAATTTGAAGTGCTTTTACCGCTCTAATTGCAAGAGAAATCGAAAATTTGTAATAGAATAATGTAATATATTAAAATAAAAAAAGTGAAAAATGTGTTAAAATAATTTCCTTTTAAGGGTGCATTGCTTGGATCAGGCGCTTCCGTGATCGGAATTGGTTCGGATTTCGCTGGCTCTATAAGAGTGCCTAGTCTCTTCAATGGCGTTTTTGGACACAAGCCTACGTCTGGTAAATTGATGTTTTTAAATATAAGTTCCAATAATAATATTCCTTTATCGATTTTTAATTTAATCCTATTTTTTGAAGAAACTTATAATATTAATTTATCGTACATTTTTCTCCTTACAGGAATTGTTCCGACAAATGGACACCTCCCAATGTATGATCCAAAATTCTTGAGCTTCGGTCCGATGACCAGATACGCGGAGGATCTCGTGTTAGTTATGAAAGTTCTGACGTCCAAGTGCGAGCGAAATTTGCGTCTTGATGATCCGGTAGATCTAAGGCAATTGAAGGTTTACTATCGATCCAGCATGGATCCGGCATTCGGTATGTCATCGACAACGCCGGAAATGAAAGATTGTGTTCACAAAGCCATGATTCACTTTACGCAATACGATATTCATCCGAAGGAGGTATTCATGGCACTTGTTTATACAGCGTGTTTATTCTATGCTATGTAATAGATGTAATATTTGTGAGTGTTTATGCTCAATGTTACAGCTGCCAATAGAGTGGCCGACCGAACTAGTCGAGATTTTGTTTGCTGGATGGAAGATAATAAAACCGCCTAAAATATTGGTGGATCCCAAAAATCCCAAGGTATTTATGTACTTATATACACTTATAAATGCAAAATAATTTCTTTTAAAACACGCCAAAAATTATTATATAAAATAACTCGGGTCTATTATTGTCTTACTTCTGACATAACAATATACTAAATTCAATTAATCGGCTAATTCTGTCTTGTTGATACACACGTGAAAATTACGTTCCAGCAACATTAAAAAAATACAAAATATGCAATATTGTTGCAACGCTTCAAACTTGGAACGCAAGATATAAAATGTTACGAGAATTTTTTTTCTTTACTGAGAAAGCGGTAGTACAAGAAAATATAAGCACATAAATTTACATGCAAATATAAAATTCAATTTTTTTATGATTCTTGTTATTAATTTGTTTGTGTTGCGCAGTCGAAGAAAAATGCAATCGTTGAATTTCTGAAATCTCTACTCGGCTTGTCACAACACACGCTGCAGGCAACCTTAAATAACATACTATTGGAGACACGTTTTCCATTCTCGGAATCGGATATATCGCATTACACGAAGCAGGGAGCAAAAATTCGGCAAGAGCTACTGGTTAGTATTCCGAGAGTTTATCATCAGTTATCATAAACATTCTATTCGCGAGTCTCATCTCCTTATTTTTCTCGCGCAGGATCTATTGGGAGAGAACGGAATATTTATTTACCCGACTTTCCGATGTCCGGCGATCCTTCCTGAACTTAGCATATGCGAAGTACTCAACATTGCCTACTGTGGTATTTTTAATAATTTTGGATTTCCTGCGGTGCACATACCGATGGGACTTAATCGCGAGGGATTGCCTATCGGTGTTCAGGTAAGCCCAACAGTCAGTTTTTTTCTTTTTCTCAAGAGTTAATACTAAAAATTGAAAATGTACAATTCAATATAGATAATTATAAGGGGAAAAATTTTGTATTAAAAGAAATGTTATAAAATAAAAAAATGTCTAAATTGCAGGTGATAGCTGCGCCTTATCAGGATCGTCTCTGCTTGGCAGTTGCTAAAGAACTGGAGACAGCTTTCGGTGGTTGGGTGCCACCATCGATATCGATAAGCAAATAATTATCGAAATTATCGAGACATGTTCTATAAGTATTAACAGATGATATTAGAATTTTTGTATCGCATAGGAAAGTAACGCGCAAATATTGAACTCGAGTTATTTCTATAGTCTTTTCACAAAAAAACTTGAAAATGTGTATATTAATCGAACAAGATATATTTTGTCTCTTGCTAAAGATTTATTAATATATATTTTTATAAATATTTTTTTAATATACTATTGTATATAATTATATTAATATATATATTCAGCACAACCACGTGGATAGATCACCCGAATGAGATCACTATCGTTTTATAGTTTGAAATTTTTGCGAAAACCTTCGTTAGATTTAATTCGACTTACACATCACTGTTTTGTTTTCTGCAATACCGCTCCTTCTATTGCAGCATAAATCGTTTGTTAGATATCCACTCTTCTGCATCTTTATTAATTATTCGAAACACGACTTATACGATAAATATCGCTACTGAATCAACTCGGGTCTTATAAATTAACAAGCTTACACTGTATAGCTCGAAAACACGAGCCTAATACAAGGAACCTCGTTTACATCTCATCGTATCCTATACGCACCTCTAACTGTTTAGAGACTCGATTTTATATATCATAATTTTAATATAAACGCGTTTATCATTATACAAAATACTGATCGATTGATATCTAAAACCGGTAAAACTAGATAACTTAGAACCGGTAGAAGCCAGATCCTAAAAAATAAAAAAAAATAGGACCTCCTCCACATTCTGACGAAATAAGCGATATTTAGGCCGATGCAAATTTCGTCAACACGTTCATCGCGTAGATGCGATGTAATTTATTAATTGCAGACGTGTGTGTATGTGTGTGTATATGTAGAATTCGTGCGACACACTTTGCAAGGCACAGAAAGAATCGCATTTTACACACTGCATCGGATGCAAAAGGCTATAATATGTAAAATACGCAAATATCGATCGCCCAAATTTCCGCATCGCTTCCACGAAGACATATATATATAAATTTTTTTTTTCGTGAACGGAGGTTTTGCTCCAAAGTGAGAAGCCCTCACTTCTTGCGATCGCATGGCGGTACGTAAGGTTTCCCGCCATATTTCTCCCACTCGCGATTGAACTCGTGTTCCAGGACCTCGGCGCCTCGTTTCCGCGTTAATCCGGTCTCGTCCAGGCTCAACTCGCACATCTGCATATCGTCGATGCCTGGCAAACAGAGACAAAAATTATCATCTCTTTTCCAACACGAAAAATGCGTAATACGGTTCAAAGTATTTACGGTACACGCGTTTATTCATAATTTATTTATAAACGCGATAAATTCAATACTTCGAGCGTATCCGTGTGTTAAAAATCACGGCAAGTTTATTACTCAAATTTATATCAGCGCAATTTTATTTTGAAAAATATTCGTAGATAAAAATTTGCTCCACCTCCACATTCCATTAGCGTTGCTGATTTATTATAATTTACTAGAGATCATTCGGAGATCAACACACTCTTGTGGCCGTACGCGCGTTTTTAGACTTTTAATTTCAAAATGCGCGATTTTTTTTTATTTCGGTAGATCTACAAGATCGTCAGAGGACTACCTGCCACGAGAAGTATAGGCGGTTTGTCGGGATGGAGTTCCATCTGCCGTGCCACGTATTGTCCGTCAAAGTGCGCGTACCACCAGCCTCTTTTGCCACCTCCGTGATTATTGTCCTGCTGTCCCGCCGCCGAGGAACGAACGAAGGGGATCCGGAAGTATCTCTGCGACGACTCGACTATCTGCTGCTTCAACGCTGTCCTTGGTGTTCTCGCAGCTGGAACGCGCAATCGACTCATTAATTTTTTTCGCACAAAATTAATCATCGATTTATCATGAAAAAAATTAGTTATTAGTTGCCTAAATTTTAGCTATGATGTCTAATATTTTTCAACTATAGAATTCTTCGTTTAACGAAACGAAATTTCATAGCTATAGTATAGCTAATTTTTTCCCGTGTAAGTATATATATATTTTTTCACCATAATTATTACCAATTTACGATATTCTGATTTTTAATAATTATGTCGTTAATATTCATAATTGATAGGATATTATGTACCTTCCTCCATGATAGATTTGGGTGCCCGTTCATTCTCATCCATAGTCGTTCTCCTGCGATTCCTCGCCTTCCAGGCGTGATAGACCTTCAGTCTACGATGGAACTCGTGACGGCATGCCTGGAAGATTTTTGATTTCGTTTAATGAAGGATATTATATATCGTATGATTATATGTATAAAACAGACATCATAATCATGAATGTACCTCCAGCAACTCGATGTCGCAGGACGTGTTGATTGCGTCTCGCAGCTCCGAATATTTCCACTTGGACAGATCGTACTTTTTGTTGCTCATAGCCGCTTGTTGATTACGCACCTGTTCCGATCTACATCGCGGACAAACGCGCATTAGAAAATAGCACGTTAGCAAGAGTTCGCAAATATTATGTAACTTTCAATTAGTAAGCTCAGCGTTTCCGCTTTCGGAGTTAGTCTAATTGCAAGAGGAAGCCAAAAGTGTTATTAAGATAGAAATCTAATAATTTTTTTTACGAAATGTAGCGAAAATCATTGTGTCATTTTTTACAACAGAGATTTTTCAAACGACAGCCTATGATCTTTCTCTATGAAAGTCGAGAGAATGAAATTCATTGAAGGTTCGATCAATGGAAATTAATATGAATGAATGAATGTTAATTGATTCGAGAAAATAATGAAATTCACAACCTGATCGTTAGTTGTTCATGCATAAAAACCCGATTAATTATACGATACCTCATTAGCCTGTTGTTGTTTGTAGATACTCGCACGTCGGAGCCACTGCATGATTTTAAACAACAAAATAATATCTTATTCCAGTTATCAGTTAATTTTATGACGTGACGACAAGAATAATCGATCGACGTATTATCGTCATCAAGATTAAGTTGCAATTAGATAACTTCGTTTTTCAATCGATTACGCGTGTATTCCTTTTTTAATCCATCGCGTATATCGATTCTAAATCATATCAATTCAAGATATTACCTAATTTAATTTTTAAAAATTTTGTAATATTTTAAACATATCTATTTGATATTAGATACTTCAGATATCGCTATGATCATGCATATAAATTTTCACATGAACTATATTAATGCATAAAATTACCGGGTCGAATTTTAAAATCAATCTCTTTTATAAATATCCCGATTCTTACCTTCGCGCAGGCGGTGGTGAATCTTCCACTTGTCCATTGGATTCCTGAGCAAGTCTGACCGCAAGTTCGTGGTCTCTTCTTTCTTGCTCGAGCAACTCCCGATATCGAGTTTCCTCCATGGCCTCCTTTTCCAATTGGGCCTTCAAATAATAAGTAAAAAAATAATTTACAAAAAATCACCAACAGTAATAAGAAAAAAATGAGAAAATTTGTTTGATAAATAATTATTGGAAAAATTCCAGCGAACCTGAAGAGCAATCGCCGTCTTCTGATCCTCTTCTTCCTGCCTCCGCCTTTGCTGCTCTTCGATCTTCCTTCTCGCCTCCATATCGAATTTCTTCCTTCTGTTTTCCTCTTCTTCTTTCTTCTTGCGTTCTTCCTCCTCCTTGTGTCTCTTCTCGAGCTCGAGCTCCTGTTGGATCTTCTTCAGTCTCGCCTGTTCTTCGGCAATCTTTTGCTGCTTCACCATATCTTGCAGGGAGGCCATCTGCTTGTTCACCTGATTCACCAGAGACGTGTAGAGACTGTCGATCTCCGCCGGCGCGATCCTCGGATTGTCTTTGATCTTGCGTATGGCTCTTTCTAGGTCGTCGTCGAGTCTCTTCATATCCTGAGTCGATTTTTCCCGATTTTTCAATTGATCCACGGTCTCCTCCATTCGCGTCAGTTGCTTCCGCAGATTCTTGATCTTCACGATGCCGCGAATGCGCGGCCGATGTTGCTTCTTCGCGATGTACATCCTCGCCGTCTTCTGCAAAACGATCAGATGTTGCCGCCGATAGATGATCTTGTTCTTCAGTTTGATCACCGACAGCGCGCAAAACTGCATCTTGTTCCAGCGCGATTTCAGCAGCCACTTCTTCACGTTCGCGACCAGCCTGCGCAGATTTTCCGGGTCGGACTTCATGATCCGGTCGAACTCGGCGAATTTGCCCGGCTTGAAGAAGACCCGAGTGATACCGAACTTGAAGTCCTTCTGATTCAGCTTGAGACTGTGAAGCAGCGCCTCGCAGAAAAATCTAGGGTCCAATTTGGCCAGTTCCGGCGGTAGATAAGACTTGTACATATTGTAGAGTTCGTGGAACGGGACTCGGCTTGGATAGCCGTGTTCCATCAATTCCAAAACCGACGTCATTCCCGAGCAGCGGAGCTGATGCATAATACTGTTGCCGTCGAATTGATGCGCCACCATGTCGCTGTTTGGTTTGATGCATCTTATGAAATTCGTTCCCTAAATATACAGACGGGAAATGAATAATAGGAATGAAATAAAGGTATAAATAAAAGGAAAATTGGAAAGAATTCGAGGAAGATATATTCTTACATTGCTCTTCAGCTTGTCCATAAGTTCGCCTAGCTGCGTTTTGAATTTACTACCGACGCTGATAAAGTTGAGCTTCCCCTTTTGCAAGGAATGATTGGCAAATTGTGTCCTGAGGAATTTACTGCCACTCTCTTGAATGAGCGCCTCCAGAGAAGCGTGCAACGCATCGTTGTTCTTTTCAATAAATTGATTCTGCGAGAGCGAAAAAAAAATTTAGTTATTAAAATTCCAAAGTGTCTATAAAAAAAATAAAAAAAATATCTGAAAGAATTTGCAATAGCAGTTTTGTACATTGCTCGTTGTAATCTTGAACGAAATGCATTTTACCGTTTGATAGCAGACACCGCCAGCATAATGGCGAATCACGAAACCCTCGTCGTCGCGTAATTCTCGATGAGCCTTCAATCGTGACGTTCGCGGTAAAGTGATGCGGAAATGACCGTTCCACGCACGATGAACCTCGTTGGTGAAATGCGCGAAACTATGAGTCGGCAGTTTCGATTCCTCGTCCAGCAGGCTGAAGATGCCCGTGTTCCTCGACTCAATTAAATCTGAAAATCGGCATAATTTATTTCTAATGTGTGATCATTTATTTCTAAAATCTGTGAATGGGAGCGTGTGATTTATCATGTCATTCGCGAGATAATAAACTTAAATGAATTATCACTTCAAAATAAATTTATTTTAAATGTGAACAAAATCGCGCTATTTTACGTTAAAAAATAACAAAATAATTTACACGATCTGTTTCAAAATTTAAAAATTTTAATTTTACGTACCGATACAATCCTGATTGTCGACGTAGGAGATTTTCGGGACGTTCAAGGATTCTCGAGCATAAAGCTCCTGCTCGTATTTCAAGATCCTTTCATTGAAGAATTGTTGGAGCTTCTCATTGCAGTAGTTTATGCAAAATTGCTCGAAGCTGTTGACTTTGAAATATTCTACAAAAGAAAATATATTGTGAGATCTTTTATTATAATATCAAAGCGAGTGTTTTTTTATGATCGAGAATTAATTCACTCACCGAATCCCGCAATGTCCAACACGCCAATGTAGTAACTTGAAGCCTTGAAGGGTATACTTTTATTAATTCGCGCGACGATGTGATCAAACAGTTTGCTATAAATGGCCTTCGCTAGAGCGTCCCTGGCGTTATTAGCCTCGTAGACCTTCAGCGGCACCCTATCCACACAGATAAATTAATGAAAATGAAGCAATCCGTGCAAAAGTGACAGGTTACGCAAAAAATATTAACATCTATATATTCCATAAAATAATAACTGAAAACAATTTTTTTAGATAGTAAAAAAATATATTAAAGTAAAAGAAAATCAAATATTTAAAAAATATCGAAATTTCTATCTTGATCGACTTACATGATAACCGTTCCTTTGATGCCACCCCGACTGGTCTGCATCACCTTCGAGACCAGAGCCTGTCGCAGCTCTTCGGGATCCACCCCCAGTAATTTAGCGGATATCACCACCGCTTTTTCCGAGTCAACGGTTATCCTGCAACCGCCCTTGGTATCCTCGGGATTGTCCTCGAATGTGATGTTGCCGAGATGAAGCACCGCCGCCACCATCGTGTAGATCTCCATGCGTTCGGCATCCACTAAACCGAGTCGAGTGAACGCCTATGACGTAATAAAGGTAATAAGAAAATAATATACACGCGAGAAGATTAAAAAAAAAATAAAAGGTAAAATTTTTCGAAAATTATTATAGGCAGGAATAATTTAATTATTTAATTATTTATTATTATTTAATTATTTTATTATTATTATTATTTAATTATTATTATTATTATTTAATAATTGAAGTATACTAAAATGACATTTTTCTTTTAACAGAAATTACCCGATCAATCGCGTTGAAGCCATCGACGTCGTCCAAAATGGGATCGTGAAGACTGCCTTTTTGTACCTGTTCGCGGCTCTTTTGCGCCTCGTTCAACCGTTTTTCCGAGCTCGCGGTGCAAAAGTACTGGGTACACCCGTTTCTCAGATAATAGAAGTCGTCCGGCTTGGTGATGGCCAACTTGGCGCGCAAATCCGCCGGTGCTCCTGCGCACATCATGTAGAACACGTGATAGTTGCGCTCGTCGGGACTTTGCAAGCACACCCTGGACTTTTCCAGAAGATAGTGCGAGATGTAGCCGCCGACCACCTGGCACCTGGAGTCGAAGTGGACCTCCATGAACTTGCCGAAGCGCGAGCTGTTATTGTTGCGTTTCGTCTTCGCGTTGCCGAACGCCTCCAGCACCGGATTCGCTGCGATATGATGATAAATCATTAAATTAAATTAAATTAAATTATTAAATAATTAAAAAATAATAATAATAAAATAATTAAATAATAATAAATAAATAATAAAATAATAATAAATAATTAAAGAATTAAATAATAATAAATAATAATAAATAATTAATAATGTTAAGAATATTAAATAATTAAATAAATAATTAAATTAAATTAAAAATAGAATAGTAGTAAATGGATGACGTAGAGAATATAGACGCTTGATTAATAAAACAGCTGTTTCAAGTCACGTAGATCTTATGGGATTTTTTAAACTATCGTTCCATTAGTTATGTCGAATCAATTATGTTCGAGTCGCGTTTTTTTCTTTACCATCGAGGATCTTCTGTTCGATCGGGCCGGCAGTCGAGCCCCAGAGATCGCAGAGATATCGCAGGAGATACTTGGTCGACTCGGTCTTCCCAGCTCCCGATTCGCCGGATACGATAATGCTCTGGGATTGTTTTAGCACCTTCATATCCCTGAACGCTTTATCGCCTGCGAACATAAAAAAAGGAAGGACCTCCTGTACTCTGTCGCCGAATGAACGATGGGAAGAAGAAGAAAGAGGAAGGGCATTGTCACGTACCGATGGCGAAGACATGCGGAGGCGTCTCACCCAAGGACTTCCCTTGATAAGCCTTGATAGTCCGCGGCGAGTAAAGGTCCTTCACCTCGTAATACGGATTCACGGCTATCAAAATGTTGGCCACGTAAGTCTGCAACCGGAATAGCGTAATGAGCGTTTAAAAAAAGATCTCGTGATGATGATGATGTTTGAAGGCGCGATTACTTGAGCTCGTCACCACACGCAAAATTACTCACGTATATCCTGTCCTTGAAATAGCGAGTGCGTATGTTGTTCAGCAGCGTGGCCTCGTTCAGGTACATCAGGGCGCCTGATGATGAGAGGAAATTCAATTTAGAGAGAAGAGGAAAAGACAGAAAAAAATATATATAAATAAAGAATATCAGTGAAAGTGCCTTTGCAAAAGAGCGAAAGTCGCGTGAGAAGCTAGCGTGACCGCGCGATCTTAATCTGCTCTCGGTAGAGCTCGGACGAAACAAGTTCGTCACGGTGTGTAACAATCGAGGGAACGGGCGCTAACGTATATCTCTCTTCATTACGTTCTTTGTTCTCCCCTTAAGGGAATCCTAAAATAATTTTTAATTTTTTAATTTAAAAGAAACTTTTTTAACACAAAATCGGTAGGTTCGCGTTTTGTTTCTACATGCACTTTAATCGTGAGAAAGCATTTATTATTTTATTCAATCAATAAAAAGAAAAGGGTGCAAAATGATGTTTTATCGATAAACCAGGACGGTGTTTAGGATCCCCATAACATTTCACAAAGTAAAATTATCGTATTAATATTTTTCTTACGTTCTTTGTTCTCCCCTTAAGGGAATCCTAAAATAATTTTTAATTTTTTTATTAAAAAAAACTTCTTTTTAACATAAAATCGGTATAGGTTCGCGTTTTGTTTCTGTATGCACTTTAATCGTGAGAAAGCATTTATTATTCTATTTAATCAATAAAAAAGGGTGCGAAATGATGTTTTATCGATAAACCATGGTGTTTAGAATTCCCTTAACATTTCATAGCGTAAAATTATCGTACTGGTATTTTTTCTTTCTTTGGGAGGATGAATCGAACCATTTTCGAGTCTGGGGAAGAACTTACAATTATCCTCGACATCTTTGGTGTATTCACCAGCAGGGTAAACCTCGTCCAGCGGACAGGTACGTTGCGGATATTTTGGATCTAGAGGGAGGATCAGGGCGTCTCCATCCACCATGTCCGCGAATTTCCCGATTATGAAACCCTCTTGAGGGTCCCGGACCCATACCTGCTGGTTCTCCATCCCGAGCTTCACTCTGGAAAAAATGCAGAAATATATTGTATATGCAGAAACACGGTCGCACGCTCGAAAACAATACAGTTGTTCTTATAGCAATCGACGTTATTCCGATCTCCGACGTGCGAGAAAGCCGCATTACCTGGGAACTTATGTTCCGTATAATATAAATTGCAATTCCAAACGAGATACAATTGAATTATTTATGAGAAATATTATTACAGACATATTTTAGCGCTGATATATATCTCGGAGTATTCTAATAATAAGATACTTTCGTTCTTTCTTAGCTAATTTGAAGTCGGCAAAAAATGTTGGGGTATTTATATTTTTGAAATATAACTATGCGTTTTGATCTCAGTTATGCGAGAAAGTCACATTACTCGGAACTTATGTTCTGTATAATATAAATTTTTAACGAAATACAATTGAATTATTAATGAGAAATATTATTATAGAAATTCTATATCCTATACTAGACACTTTCGTTCTCCTAGTTGGATTCTTTTTAGCTAATTTAGAGTCGACAAAAAATATAAATATATAACTACTTGAAGAAAGTAATCAGGCCAAGAGAGACCGGTGTGCAATGTCGAAATAAATAATGAAACGAAATAATTTTCGCTTGTAAGAAACGCAAAATCGTCGACGACAGCCTTTTGTGCACTTTCTCTCTGCCGTCGTCGGAGAGATTTCCGACGAATGGGTCTTTGTCCGTACGACTTCCGGCGCTCTACCAGGTATGCTGAATGGAGAGATTCTTAGCACTCGTCCAATCCCGCGGTCTTATTTCAAGCTGTGCATTATTGACTGAAGAAGCAATAAAAGTGTCACGATCGGTCGATAAAGACTAGTCATATTCCATGAAGAACCAAGTTAGCTAGACTAGATCGGAAAGACTTCTAGCTATTCAAATATAGCTTCGGATAAATATAATTGTGATAAATATTGTAGTTGGCTATCAGCATATTGTCGAAATATATACATATGTATATATCATATATGTAAATATAAAAGAAAAAAATTGTAGACTCTTAGCTATTCGATGAGGTCGAGAAGTTGTCTTTTGCAAACCTTTATAAAAGGTTTCTTCAGTCTTGTACGAATTTGACAATTGTAAAAAATATTTGTCATTCCCTTTTTTTTCAAATAAAAATTTATCCAATTAATTTTATGCATTTTAGGAAATTCAATTTTATTAGAAATTCTATTTCTATTATATTTTATTATTGAAATTTTCTTAGAAATTCAATTTTATTTGAAATACAGATCTTTTACTGCCAGTAAAGTTAGGATTGTGTTGATTCTGGGACATCCTGTACGTGTACAATGATCGTTTCTAATAATGATCATGGAAGATAATCCCGTAGTAATGACGGAAGCGCTTATCCGTGGTTCTCATAAAGCTAGATTCACGTTTCAAGTGTTAACATGATTCGTATTTTAGGTTCTTAATTCTTTACTATCAGTTTGAGACGGTCGACGCGAAAATTGAAATTCCATGCTCGAATTTATCGCTTATCACGAGGCGTTATAGAGATAACGCGATGACGAAAGATGCGACTGAGACGAGCTCGAAATAATCGTTGTTACTCACCGTAATTATACGATGCAGCTGCATCGTCTATGGGTATTTTCCTTCTTGAAACAACGAACTTGATATTCCCAGACGATTATCTCTCATTTGTCGAATCGTTGAACATCTCTTTCCGTGTGTTAATTAAGAAACGTCTACCCGAAAAATTATATTAAATTAAAATAAATAAAAGAAAATCATATTATTTAAATATAGCTGATCCCTACAAAATACATTATATCGCATGTAGATATTTCTGTTTCAACTTCTTTACACGTATACACGAATTTACATTTACTTTTCTTATCGTTCAGACTAGACATTATATCAGCACGCCAGCTGTAGCCTCGCTTTTTGTCGCAAATACGTGAAACAAAAAAGACTATTGTCCGCTTTACGTCATTCTTGCGCTATAAAGATTATCATTATTACATATTTCCGGATTCTTGTTAAAAAAAAAAAAAGAGAGAAAAATATGCAAACTGTCAGATTTATGTATTTCTTTCTTATCGCAGCGACATTACGGCCGTTACTTGTCAATTTTTGTCCACCTGTCCGTATCGCGCGCGGAGACAATTTTCTCGATTACGTAACGCGATGATTATTCTTTCGCGATGATTTTCGAGTTCAGCGCGGCGCGGCGGACACGCTAGGAGATTGCGCAGTCGGCGATAAAATCAGGTTTATATATATATATATACATGCGATATAATATATTTTATAGGGATCAGCTATATTTAACTAATATGATTTTCTTTTATTTATTTTACTTTAATATAATTTTTCGGGCAGACTTTCCTTAATTAACGCACGGAAATTTTACAATTTGACAAGTGAGATAATAGTCTGGGAATATCAAGTTTATTGTTTAAAGAAGGAATATATATATATATATATATATATTTTCCTTAAAAAAAAAAAAATATATATATATCCTTAAAAAAAAATATATATATATATATATTTTTTTCCTTAAAAAAAAAATATATATATATATATATATATATATATATATAGATAGGCAGACAGACAGGATATAGAGAAGCGCCTCGTCGTCATCGTCATCGTCGTCGTCCGCTAACGACAAAAAAAAATAGGCGCTTACGCATGTATATTTTCCCCCATGGTGACTTCCAGGTTCGACGATCGGCAGTCGTGACTGCGTGATCAAAGGTCGTCACGAGCCGTTGCGTCTCGTGTTTATACACGCCGTGACAGAATTTCGAAAAAGCTCCGACATCCGTCCTCCGATGGAGCGCTAACCCCGCGATGCGGTGCTGCATTTGCATAACGAATAATGCAATCGCCAAATGCAACGCGTTTCTGCTCAGAGGAGCAAGCTCCGTGCATAATTTTTTATTTTCCATTTGTTAAGGTTGTTCGGAAAATAAGTGCCCCATTTTTTTCTCAGAAACTATTCGTTCAATAAATTTAAAAATTTACACACACTATACAACTTTTATAGCTTTACATTGTATGCATGTCATACTTGTCATTTTTCTAAACCTTGTCTCCTAAAGTGCACCTTCAAGTAGCCGAATAGTTGGATATCAGAAGCAGTTGCTAAACTGTGCTTTCGATTTCCGGAATTTTTGTAGACCACTTAAAGATATAATTTAAAGATCTCTCCAGTACAAGATTTGAAAATGACGATGGCACAATTCAAACAATGAGGACATGACTACATGAACAAGACAAGAGCTAAAACAGCAGAAGCAAATATTCATGTACCTATATACTGTGTGCAAATTTTAAATCTGTTGAATAAATAATTTCTGAGGAAAAAAATGTGGAGCATTATTTTCTGAACAACCTTAATATTAACTAAATACACGTGAAATCGATTCCTCATCTTTCGTGGGTCTTCGTTGCACCCTGCGTAAATGTTTTTTTCAATCGAAATAAAATATATTTTTTTTTAATCGAAATAAAATATATTTTTTTTATCGAAATAAAATATTTTTTTTAATCGAAATAAAATATATTTTTTTAATCGAAATAAAATATATTTTTTTTAATCGAAATAAAATATATTTTTTTTAATCGAAATAAAATATATTTTTTTAATCGAAATAAAATATATTTTTTTCAATCGAAATAAAATATATATTTTTTTAATCGAAACAAAATATATTTTTTAAATCGAAATAAAATATCTCGACGAGAGGAAATGTAATTCTTCCAACTGAGATTGAGGAACCAGATATTTCCGCAAATTGAATATGTGCGTACAAAGATATATATCACAGGTTGAAGTCTGAAACCTGCGCGCGGCCGATCTGGAAAGCGCGAGAGAAATTGCCTTGTTCCCTCCGTCATCTTCTCTCTCTTTCTCTCTCCGGTCGCGCATCTCCCGTTAGAGATATCGTAACGGTAAAAGCCAGCGGTAAATCCTTGCGTCGATCCCCAGGACACTCGCGGCGAGTCGTCTGCCGCGTTTTGCATCATCTCTTATATATGCATCCAACAGGGAAAACAGGGCCGGCGTAGCGGACTCGCTCTGAAATGCCCCTGCAAATTGTCGAATTTAATCGACTCTATCCGAAACCGATGCACCCGAATGAAGCGGACAACGTCGGTGTTGCAGTTGCAACACATGGTCGCGGCGTCTAAGCATGTAAGGCATCCGAAGCAATCTTCTGCGTGTCGAGAGAGCGCAAGATGCACATCGCGAAGAGAGAGAGAGAGAGAAAGAGGCGAAGAATCGAGGAACGGTTCGTTCACCTTCTTCTACTATATAGCAGTAAGAAACCGTAACGTCCAGATGTTGCATCGTTTTTTTCTCTCTCGCCATTAACCCTTTTTCTCTCTCCTTTTCTCGTTTCTTTCTGAATCCGCGGTCTAAAGCGGAGGTATCGATCCTCCTAGCAGCCCTTTTCCCCAGAGTCCTTCTTTCGGCTCGACGTGTGCTCTCTTATATACTTATTGTTCTCCGAATGAGCGAGGTGCGGCTCCCTCAACGCCTTCTTTCGCGACCTCACGCTTAATGAAGGTAGAGTCCGAGATAACAGAGATGCGACACTCACGGGCGTGGCCTGTCATTGATGAGCTGTCAAAATCACGTGGTCGCAGCATCACTGAAGTTTTTTAATACATGCGAAATTGAAAACATTATAACAAAGAAATAGAGTCTACGGAGAAATACAAAGTGTAATATAAAGCTATTATTATGGTGTAAGTATTTTTATTTGTCTAAATATTTAGTAAAGTATTGAATTTAATCTAACGTAACTTGAAAAACTTTCTTCAAAGCTATATTGAATTTTTCTGTGAATCTTTTTTTAATAATATATTTTATATATAAGGGCATGGCCTGTCATTGATTGGCTGTCAAAATCACGTGGTCACAGTATCATTGTGTTTCCTCACTGAAGTTTTTTAATACATGCGAAATTGAAAACATTATAACAAAGAAATAGAGTCTACGGAGAAATACAAAGTGT